GCATCCTCCGGCAGCCGCGGCCACGGCAGCGGCGGCCGCGGCAGCGGCGGCGGCGGCGGGGATGGCGTGAGAGGAGGAGTATTGGCGCGGGAACGACAAGGGCGACGGCGGCGACGAGGAGACGGAGGGACGCGAGTGCCACCCCAGGCACACTTCTTCATCGTCTTCTTCCGCCCCAATCGCCGCTCCTATCTCGGCCGCCGCCGCCGCCGCCGCCGCCGCCGCTGCCGCTGCCGTCGCTGCCGCTGCCGTCGCTGCCGCTGCCGCTGCCGCCGTTGATGCCGCCGTTGATGCCGCCGTAGATGAGTCAACCACCGGCGGCGGCGGCGACTCTACCCTCGTCTCTGAGGATGATGCCACGGCGGCCGCCGCTGCGATGACGGCATTGTGGATCGACTCTCGGGTAGGCCTACCGGGCGTCATGAAAGATGAAGCAGCACCAGCTTCCTCCGAGGACATGGTCGGCGCTGGAAACGACGCACCCCCTTCGCCGGCACCATGCTGCGGTGGCGGCGGCGGCGGTAGGGTACCCGTCCCCCTCGTTCCACCACCTTCTCGTCCCGCCGTTACCACCGCCTCTGTCGCGGTCTGGGGGGCACCGTAGATTGAATCTCTCCTCGGAGGGTCGGGGGGTGAGGAGAACGACGGGTGCGACGCTGTTGTTGCTGGCGTTTCGGCAGATGTTGCCGATGTAGGGGGCGACGACGTGGTACCATCCCCCCCTACCGTCCCCGCCGACGCCGCCACCACCGCCACCGCCGACGCCGCCGCCGCTGCTGCTGCTCCAGAGGCTAGGTCCTCACCCGGCGTCCACCGGGGCAGCGCCAGCCGAGTGTCTGTACGCCACCAGCTCGCTCGTCCTTCCGCGGCGGCCCTCCCCCGTTCCGGCGGGGGCGGCGGCAGCATGCACGCGACGGCGGCGGCGGCGGCGGCGTCGTCGCGGTCGTCCACAGGATCCGTGCAACGCGTGATGCCGCGAGGAGAATAGGAAGGACAAGACGAAGGGGAGGTGCCGATCCACCGGCGACACCGCTACACGTCGCCGCCGCCAGCGCTTCTTCCGCGGCCTCGATCGCCGGCCGCAGGCTACCACCACGACGGAAGCCACCGACGGAAGTAATACCTGGGAAATGGGCAGGGTTAGCGGCGGCGACGGCGGCGGCGGCGGCGGCGGCGGCGGCAGCGGCGGCTGCGCTGGTGGGAGGAGGAGGAGGGGTGGCCCCGCAGCACGGGCTCCGAGACCCCACCCCTCCCCCGCAGAACCCGGAGCCCCCGCCGCACCCCGTCCCCCCGCACACGGAGCCCCCGGCGCTACCGCAGCACGAAGAGGACGTCGTCGAGGTGGCGGTCGAGAGGCTGCTGATTGAGTTCGGGTCGTCAAAGTCGTTGTTGTTGTTGTTGTTGCTGTTGTTGTTGTTACCCTTGCTCCCGCTGTGGAAAACACTACCGGCCCCGGCCATCATCCGAAAAGTGGCACCGCCGCTGCCGCCGCCGCCGCCAGACAGAAAACCGGTGCCGTCCGGGCTCTTCACCTTCCCGCCCCCCCCGCCGCTCAGGCGCCTGACCCCGATCCGACTTGAAGGGCTCGGCGCGCAGGCGGCGACATCGTGATGCTCGAGCCCAAGTAGGATTCGCGCCTTGCGGGGAGTGCTGGCCAGGGACCGGAAGGCGACCGGGCTGTTCCTCTCCGACGCCATGGTCATCACCGCCGGCGGCGGTGCCTGCGGCGGCGACGGCGGGGTCGCCGTCCCGCCCTCGGAGGTGTCGTCGTCGGTGGAGACGGCGGCGGAGGCGGCGGCGGCGGCGGCGGCACCGGCGGCCATGGCCGCGGAGGCGGACCGCGGGGAAGCAGCGGATACGGCGGTGGCGGCGGTGGTTGCGGGTAGTATGGCGGCGGCGGCGGTGGCCCGCGCGCGTCCGGCGCCCATGGTCCCGTAGGGCGCGATGCCGTTGTCGTTGTTGCCGTTGTTGTTGTTGTCGTCGTTGGTGACGTTGTTCATCCCCGTACCGTTAACCGCCACGAAAGCAGCCGCGGGTTCTCGCTTTTCTTCCTCGATGAATGGCGGCAGCGGCGGCATCCCTCCCCCGCCCGACGCTAGCCGGACACTGCTCCCGTTGCTGCTCCCGCTGCTGCTGCTGCTGCTGCTGCTGATGCTGCTGAGGTTGCTGATGGAGGCGACACGCTCGTGTCGTCGGATGGAAGGCGGCGGCGGCGGCGGCGGCGCCTGTGCCTCCGCCCGCTGCGGCTGCGGCCGTGCTCTGGAAGCGCGGTTGCGGCTGCTGCTGTTGTCGCGATTGCTTTTGCCGTCTGCAGCCATCGCACTCGCCCGCCTGTCCTTGCCTCCGGTAGAGATACCAACCCTCACCCTCCTGTTGCTGCCGCTACTGCTGCGGTTGTTGCTGTTGCTGCCGCTGAGTCTGGGTCACCACTCTTCACCCCCCCCCCCTGCCGCTTACCGGCGAACAGCGGCGGGTGGCGTCACTTGGCTCCGGTCCCGCTCATCAAGCCTGCCTCGCCTGTACACAGCCTGCGCGTGGGGAGGATGGGGGGAGGGGGGGGTACCCCAAATGTATCAAGGACCCTGTGCGCCCGTGCAAATGGGAAGCGGTGATGAACTCTCATAAAAAAACGCATGCCGTGTAGTCGTCCTGAGACTCGCATCCCGACAACGCCGGGAAGGAGCAGTATTGCCTGTTTTTCGCCGGCCCAGGCTACGTTCCACAAGGGATGAACCAGAAAGCTGGTGAGGCGGGGGGAGATGTACTCATAGTCGTGCATGCCGTAGTCGTTAGACCATTGACCTCGCATCTCTACAAAGCCGGGACGGAGCACGCCGCGTTTTCACCGGTCCAGGCTCTCACATCACCAAGCGCGAAGCGCCGTGAGGTATTCGGCGAGTCGCATGAAGGGTGCGCTGCATGCTGCTAAGGGTGTTCGGCATCTTGTGCTTACTTCCTTGCTTACGGATGACAGCTGCGTTTTACTTAATTTATTCTCTGGTGCTTTCACTTCCAGAGACAGTTGGAAGCGCTGTGTAACTGCCTCGAGGGTGCTTGGCGAATTTAACACAACGTGCGATTATGCCCTTTGCGCGGAGTGAGGGTTCTCGACCCCGCCCAACATAATCTACTCGACCACCATTCATGGTTACCGCAAAAAAACAAAAAACAAAGGCAAAAAGAAAAAAGCGGTAACCTGGTTGCCGAGCTCACGAAGTGATCGGCTTGTTTTACAACACCGCTGCCAAGCGACGAAAACCCAACCCCGATGGCAAACATCGTTGCGCTAAGGGGGGGGGAGGCGGGGAGGGGTCATTTCTAGGGCGTTTCAACCATCCAGTTTTCAGCGGAAACTTTGCTTGTACGGTGTGAAGTCTAGTTTCACAAGGGGGGAGGGGGGGGCATTCGTTTGCTTCCGTGAGAAAGTTGCGATATCACCACGCGCGCGTTCGGGGCGGAAGGAGTCGACCCCGTTTTTCTTCTTCTTCTCAAGTCGACAAAAGCACGCCGTCGCTGAAACGCTCACTCGGTCTCCCTGAAACGGTAACGCCGATCAATAGGACAGTTCTTCAAACACACAAACACACACTTCAAAAACGGGGAATAGATTGCAAGGCGACTTGCAGGGTCTCCATTCCTGCCTTTTAGGGGTTTCGTGGCCACCAGGGGGGCGTCAGGACGCGTGGACTGATCGATTGGGGGGGTGCCTCTACCTACCGCTCCAAAATAAACCCGGCCAGGAACACTGTTTGGTGCTGTTGTTTCGAAGCCGAAAGTCGTGAAAACTTGAACATCACATCTGCCGCGGCCTGTTGTGGGGGCGAGCGATGCCACACTAGTGGCGAACAATGAAAAATAGATTTGGTCGAGAGACATGGCAGGCTTTGTCGTCCTGGCGCCAACCTTATCTTTACCTTGCCTACTTATCAGCGGCCGAGATACCTGGCATTGGCAATCGATCGCATCAAGGAATCAAGGGGGGTGTGCTATCGTACGTAACATTGTGGGCGTTCCCACAGGAAGATGGATGGCCATCACTGGAGCAGCACACTTTGTATCACGGGGTTATGATTGTACGATCAAGAAAGGGGAAAAAGGGGGCGGGGGGGGGGGCGTGTTCAAGAACGACTATTGAAAAAGCACGGTGGCATTCATTCTATTATTTTCTTGCTAGAACGCAACGAATAAATACCGCAGGTTGCGCAAAATACCACACCCCCTGGACCGATTCTCGAACCTAGATATTCGGCAGGAAAAGCGGTGACGGTGCCGAAAACGGCGGCGTTGGAACCGTCTTGTCGAGAGCTTCCCGAAAACGTATGCTTCAATTTCGGCATCCTCGTCGTCGTGGAGTATTGGAGCTTTGAAAATCGGTCCGGGGTGTGTGTTATCTTGCGTCATTGCGAGCCTTGAAAATCGGTTCGGGGGTGCGTGATAACTTACGCATCCTACGGTTTCCACCTCATCTCCCATCCGGGATAAACACGATACCCGTACCGCGGGATTCGCAAAAACCCCCCGACAGTTTCGGTTTCAATAAAGTTACCGTAGGTGACACAAGATACCACACCCCCTGGACCCGTGTTCAAATCTCGATTGCTCCACGACAAAGAGGATGCATAGATGAAACGATATGTTTTCGGAAACTTCTCAACGAGACAGCTTCAACGCCGCCGTTTTCGGCGCTGCCACTCATTCTGTTGTGGAGAAATCGAGCCGTGAAAACCGGTTCAGGGTGCGTGTTATCTTGTGTCACCTACGGTATGCTTCGAAGTATAGTCATTTTCGATGTCGGGGGACGCCAAATATAATCGCGCACTAAATTAATTCATGAAAACTATTTTTCAGTGTTGTATCTTTTCTTTTTCCACATCGTCGAGAACACGCTGCGAAAAGCCGCCCTCGGGTGTGGGTGAACAATTCGTGCTTTGATGTTTGAATAATTATTAATGGTGTTCGCTGTGTTTGACGCGTAACGCTGAATCCAAAAAAAAAAAAATACTGAAGAAAACCTCAACCTTCGCGTCTACCGAAGTACCATCTGATCGCGACGCGAATGTGAAAGGAGGGAATCGATCGTCCTCGACAGCCCATTGGGGAGATTAGATGTACACACCCTGTAGGAAGGGATGTCCACATCAATACGTTGTAGGTAGTCGTATGTCTCTCATCGGTCTTTTGAATGGTAGTCCCTTCTGGACACCGTTAACCCTTTCGAGTCTTCAGGCGTTCTGACTGATCATTGATTGATCATTTGCAAATACTGGTGTAGTGGCAAGTCGTGGAGTTGCCGCCCTGCAGCCCTTCGCGCTGTGTATTGGCAAGTCCATAGGTAGGTGTGTCTAGATTTTTAGCACCCGCGCTAATCGGCTGACCAATGAAGAGACGTCAGTGACAGCGGGTAGTATCAAGGTCTCGGGGAATGGGGCCAATCAATGCCACATCATGAATCTCTCAACGTATATACATGGACGTGTGTGTGCATACATACATACATACATACATACATACATATGTGTTCTTTCGCAGCACCACACATACACTCGCCCGAACGTAGCCACTGCTGCAAAGAGCAGAAGGCAGCAAAAGGGAGGGGTATTGCAAGCCCTGCCGAAGCCCAGATATCCAGGATATCGTGGTACGCTGCATCTCCCAACAATTTGAAAATCGTTCCCAAGATCCAGCAGCCATTGTGTGAGCAGCTGCAACAAACGCTACAACAACATTACTTTATACTACTGCTGCAGACGCGTCAAACATATCAGCAACACATCCACACTCACTCGTAGCGCCACACATACTCTCGCCCGAACCTAGGAAACCACGAGGTACAGGTGTGTGCTGGTGTGCTGGTGGATGTGCTTGTTGTTTGAAAAACACAGAAGTGCTAGAGAGCTGGCAGGGCACATTTCGGGGGGGGACAGAGACCAGAGAAGTACAGAAGTACAAATACCAGCTATGGGTCTTCACTGATCATTTTGCCCTCTCTGGACTGATCATTTGCAATATGCCGAAAATAGACTAGTTGAGGCAGCTAGACGACTGATCATTTCAAAGTCTACACAGCTAACCTGCCCTACTGACCGCAGCGCGACCACCCATCAACCCTTCTACGACGCTATCTGTGGCCACCACCCTGTCGCCGGCTTCTCTCATGGCCTACAGGTGGAGATAGCTGTTGCGTGTGCAGAAGTACACTGGTGTCTTTCTCTGCACTTCTCCCTCTCGCGCTCGCTCTCGCTCTCAATTTTTTTTTTTGGCGCAAAAAAAAAATCTGACAGTCCAGCCTAGACCCAACGGGGTTAACCTTGGGTCATGGCGTGACTCTCGCACGTTCTGCACACCTGCTTCTGTACACTGCTGTACACCTGCTTGCCCTCCCGCAGACTCTACGCGACTCAAGAGGGGAGGGGCGTGCCACCGCCGCTTGGTACATGCTCCATTCAACCAATACCGGCCTTCTAACAGTCGGTTCTAGATATTGCTACCCATGCGTTGACGGTGGCGGCGGGAGGCACACAACCGCCGAGCTCAGTAGGAACGATGGTCGCTTACCGCAGAGCTGTTTCAAGATGCCAGTGTGTGTGCTGTGAGCGGTGGAGGGAGCGGCGCCTCTACCCCAGCTTTGTACAGAGGAACGAAGGCAAAACAGCCCGGTCTACTGTAGTTACCAGTGCGAAATCTGTGAACGGCCGCGGGAGGCAAGCTCAGCAGGTACAACGGTCTCTACCGCAGAGCAGGTTCTTGATACCAATGGGTTGCTGTGAACGGCGGAGGGAGGTACACAATCCCCCCGCTTCGCAGGAACTAGGACTTCTAGATACCAGAGTGCGTGATCGGTGTAAGGTATCTCAGAGGAATATGTGAACCCCCCCCCCCCCCCCCCGGCTGGGTACGAAAAAGGCCTTACAGCAGGTGCTACTTGCACTCTGGTGTTGTTCTCTCCCTCTCTGATGTTTTCGGAGGTGAAGTGTACACCCTTCTTCGGGGGATGTTGGCC